AAGTGATGAATCTTGTTGTCTCTGCATGCAAATAGCCTCTTGCTTTCCTCTCCCTCCCTCTCTATGAGTCACCCTCTGCCCTTCACTGCTTCATTAATACACATCTGTACCCCAGCCTTCCCCTCTACCTCCTTCCTTTGCTTATGCCAAGTGAGGAGGAAGAGACAAACAGAGGAATGGAGGAGGAGGAGGTGATGGTGATGGTGATGGTGATGGTGATGGGGAGGGTGGGAGGCGGGTAGGCGCTCGACAGCAGCACGCTGTTGGCAGGAGGAGAATGTGCTGGTAATTAGCCAGCACCGGTATAGACGAAAAAAGCCTAGGAAGAAGATAGGAGAAGACTAGGAAAGGAAAAAAGAGCAAAGCTCTGAAAACAAGCCTCCTGCCAGGCTGAACTCCCCAGAGGCGAGACCTGGACATGACGGTGTGCAGTCTGGGAACAAAGGAAGGAGAGGAGAGCTGGGGAAAAGATGGGAGTCTGAAGAGTGGGCCCATGACAGCACCTGCCGAGATGAGAATCATTGGATGTGTGTGTGGGTGTGTGTGTAGGTGTGTGTGTGTGTTTGTGGGCATGTAGGCTTTATTTTCTTGTGATTGTGTATGTTTGTCAGTGAAGGATGCCTTCAGATGTACAGATACAAGATTCATCACCAGAGTGTCTGCCTCATACTGTAGGGTAACAGCTATGTTTATTAGCCTTATGTTCAAAATAAAGGTATTCAAATTTCAAATATATTTTCCATTCAAGATCTCCTCTCAGAATCCCTCTAATGATGATTGCTTGCCTAAATCCACTTCTATACTCAGCTTCACTGAGGTTGCACAGATATTTAGACAAACAGCCAAGAGAGGCCAAGGTTTACATCTGTTATTAGGCAAGCCATGAAACATGAGTTGATTTGTGAATCATGAAAATATTCATAATTATTCCCCCCAGGAGCATTGTTGATCAAGTTGCTAGGCAACATAATAGTTCTGATAAAGGTGATAATATTGGATTCGTGCTATCACTGCATTTACTTGACAACATCTAAAAACATGACCCAGCTAATCACGCCTCACTGTTATCCTCCTGATGTCATAAAGGTGTGGTTTTCCTACAATGATGTGATATGAAAGAGGCACTTCACCACCTGATATTGTCGAAGGTTAATGAACCTCAGTCTAATGAACCTCAGTCCGGAGAGAACCACTCTCTTTAGTAATTAACCGAGAGCCTCTAAGTTTTGCCGCTATGCTTTTATAGAGAGCTTCAAAAATGAGCGGATGTGTGTGAAAGAGAGAAAACGTGAGCTTTGAGTTCTTTGTTAGCCTCATTAGTGAGAGGACTTGGTTCATTAAATGGTGTGAACGAGCGGTGTGGACTAAACACAGCGGCTCCCTCAGTGTTTTACTTCAGCTAATTTAGTTTTTCTTTTTAATTTTCAGAAGAAGAACTTAACATTGTTTAAACAATGAAGAGTGTTTTCATTGTCACACACCCCGTGTTCCATGATCTCTCTGAGGCTGAGTTAATCTCTGTATCACACATGAGACAAAGATATAATGTTTGGAAGCGTGTTAAGGGTACCTGTGGGCACACCTCTCAAATCTCAAATGTGTTGTGATGTCCCATGTGGTCAAACAAGCTCACTGAACCAACTTCCTCGTGGAAGGTGGGTTCACAATTGAAAAGATGAACAAAATCTCATCATGTGTAAGGAATTATAGGCACATTTTACAGTTGAGGGCCGGTGATGCAATTGTCGGCAAGCCTGTAAAAACAGGTCCCGGAGAGAACCAAAAAGCACAGGAAACACAGGCCAAATGTTTTGCCAACTATCATGCTGGGCTACTGAGTGGAGCGCATCCTATCCCTGACTAGCCTATGAATGGTGAACCTAGAGTACATGTTTTAGCAAGCCCTCATAGCGTTGCTTTTGTGCCTTTAGCTACAGTATTTAAGCAGTGTGTCCCTTTACAACATTTGACACTTTAAAGGACCCATCCTATATTTAAGTTTCCAACAACACAAAGATTTTCAGACAAAATAATGTATGAAGTCAAACTCTGATGAGTATAATAAGTCACAAAATCACAGATTAAAGAGCCCATGGCATGCTTTTATGTGTTTTTTGACTTATCTACAATGTTACAACAATGAATTATCATTTTAAATCTGACTTAAAGCTCAAAAAACGAGGTGTATTGACTGTATACTGTTGTTTATCTATCTATGGAGGAGAAATTCAAATTAATTAATGCCGTTGCGGTTCGTTGTGCTGTCCTTTTTTATATTCTGACTCGAACATGTCAGGTAGGATTTGAGGTATTGTCATTCTCAAAAACGTATTTTTTGTTTATGCATTGTCGTAGCTCCCTGACCAGCAGCTGGAGTTGTGCACGTTCATGAACTATCATCTCGTTTTCAGAAGGAGGCTTTCATTGTGATATTTAGTTTTATCGTTCTGAAATAATTACAGACTAATTGGAGTTATGACGAGTGCAAAGCTAATGTAGAGGTACGCAAGATTAAACATTAAATGGCTGGAAATGAGCACGCCATGAGCACTTTAAAGGTACTGAGCACATTCAGCTATGCTTCTTCCTTCCTATTATTGATGTGTGGTGGTCTATCATGACTTGGCTGTGGATCGATTCATCCCCTCGTGTCTGAGAGTGTCAGGCCCGTCCAGCCATCTGCAGCCACATGAGAGACTGGCTGTGTTTTGACATGCTCCTTGCTTCCCCTCCAGCACAACAGCAGCAGCCAGCCAGCCTACCCAGTCTCTCCACACACCGTTTGGAGTGTCAGTCCAGTCTTCTCTACTGGGAACTGGGCTTGGCAGTGTTAGTTACAAGGCTCAGATGGGCTGCTGATGGGACCTTCTGCCCAGCGGTCCCATGATGGCAGGTAGAGAGCGTGCAGGAGGCAGGTGTGTTTATGTTCCACTTGTTGCCCACCACTCTCATCCCACAGAGTCAAGGACAGATGCCCATAACGCTGATTTTGGAGAAGGCCAAGTTGGAGAAACTGACAACGGGGAGAAAAAATGGAACATGGTCTGGAAGGAGAGAAAGGAAACTGTAATGTGATGGTATAAAATTTGATCTAATAAAATCAGCTCAACAAAAATCAATAGAGGATTCTAGTAGGATTTTTTTTTCATGACAAAAGCTTCAGTTCTCTATAAAGGTCGGTGCATATGAATCCTTCCTTAACGGCAAGAAACACATTTTCAGGAAATTCATTTCCCTCACTGCTCCCTGGGCATTGTTTGAATAGTCCCTTCATAGTCATCAGAGCCTTTTGGAAAATTATATGAATAATACGCCATGCTTTTGGAACAAGCATTATGCAGGGTGTCTAGGTTGACGACTGAAGCTCAGTCAAGTTGTTTGGCTCAGCAGGTAGCAAGGCTTTGAGTAATCAGGGTTTGGGGATTCTAATTAGGACAATTAAGTCCTAATTACAGTGTAAACACATTCTGCTGCCAAAACCCTAGACCCCTAGAGTGAGGCCTCAACACCGTAGCTTCCTATTGTGATACGCTGTCTAAAAGACAGCATGAATCCCATACTGTACAATCCTAACACAAATTAAACTGCTATTAAAAAAAAGCACAAAAGTACCTTTAAAGAACACATTCAACCTTTAACCATTATTGTTAAGTTCTTTTCAAGGTAACATTTTAATAATCTATTTTCACTCATAGCCAGATTTTGATGGCCCATAATACCATTTTGTATATGCTGTTTGACAGAGTGACCATACTGATGACATTTAGATCCTGTCAGCTTGTTCACGCTCTGATTTAGCTTTTGAAATATGAATGTTCTTAGTGATCAGTGGAGCACTCCATTGATTTAGCATTGGACTCATGATCCTGTGTTATGATCTCAATAGACATTTAAAAAAAAGGATCAAAGTTGATGCAGCAGAACTAATAATATCATCTTATTGGTTCTAAGTATTCTCGTTCCTTCATTACAAGACTGTCCTCCTGTAAAGATGACTCCATATTGTTGTTTGTGTCAGCAAGTTAATACAACCAGCACTAACATGATTAAGTTAGGGTATCTCCAGCAACCATAGTAGTTATGACACGAGCAAAGGAGGTAGTTAGGTGACATAGCCTGGTGTCCATGGCAGGACCCCATGCACCATTTCACTCCAAAAAATATCACTGCGTGCTTGAAGTTTGTCACCTTGACACTTAACAGTGCTACTAGGAAAATATTTGTGGACTGGCAAAAGTAAGGCTTGAAAAGGGCACTGTATACGAAAACATCATAGCAATAGTGTGCATACAGTATATGGGTGACAGAGTGTCATATTTTGAGCTGTTTTGCTGCTTTTGGAGAAAATAAATTCCAAAGCTCATCAAGGTGTCTTACAGGACAATGTCAAAGTGGCTGCACACCAGCTGACACTCAGTATGAGTTGTGTGATGTACCTTGACAATGACCCAGAATATTCAAGTAAATCTATTACAGAATGACTTCAAACAAACACGCTCCACCTTTTGCAGTAGCTCAGTCAGAGCCCAGACCTCAACCCAGTAACAATGCTCTGGAATGACCTCAAGAGAGTGGCTCACACCAGACACCCTGAGAATATGTCTGAGCTGAAGCAGGAGGAAGAATAGTTCCAATTTCCTCCTGAGCATTATGCAGGTCTGATCCACAGCTACAGGAAGAGTTTAGTTGAGTATTTTGTTGTTCCACACAGATAATGCAGAAAAACAGGTGATTCTGAGTGGATCGCATACTTTTTCTTGCCACTGTATGTAGAGATGCATATATTTACATTATGAATAAAAGTGGAGGATGTGGTTGTTGTTCATTGTGCATGGTGATATGCATATGTAGAGTCAGCACTTTTTTGTCTCTCTTTGTGTATACGCGTACACATATTTAATAATAATGTAAATATTTCATCTTACAGCAACAATAGCTTTGGGCACAAGCTGAAAATTAATTATGTTGATTCTCATGGGCATTGATGTCCCTTTTATAGCTTGTACTTTAGATGCATGTGAACATCCTGAAGAGGGTCACAGGGGCTGGGGGTGGATAGGTGGGGTGGGCCTGGAGGCAATGCCAGCCTACACTTAGGTGAGAGGCAGGGCAAACCCTGGACTGGGCACTGGTCTCTCACAGGACTGACACATAAAGAAAGACAACCACTCACGTTCATGCCTATGGGCAATTTAGAGTCAGCAATTAAACTAACCTGCATGTGTCTGGACTGTGGGATGAAGGTATCTGGACAAAACACATGTAGGCACACAGAGAACATGCAAACTCCACACAGAAAGGCCCTGGTCAGGATTGGAACCTGGCACCTTCTTGCTGTGAGGCAGCAGTACAAACCACTGTGTTGCCCAGATAAAACATCAGATAAACCGTATACTGTAGATCCGTCTGAGCACTTACATTACTTATTAATGTGAAAACAACACAACATGTAATAACTACTAATACCAGCTTGTAACAATCATGCAAAAACCATCACCTCAAATAACGACACCCACAGCTGCAAATCAAAATTTAGGGGGAGTAAACAGACAGCGACACCGCCGGTTGTTCTCTCACTGGCTCTGGAGGCTCTGTGATTGGAAGCAAACAACGCAGTAGCTCCTCAGAGAGTGAGCTCTGAGGTGACAGGACTTCAGGGTGGTGTAACTTTCCAGGATCAGAAGTAGGGTGGTTTGCTGAGGTCAATGAGCCTTACTGCCTTTGAGAGAGAGAGAGAAAAAATTAATTATATACATTTTAAATTTTTTGAGCCTCTGCTGCTTTTTTCTAACATTAATAAGACATTGATTTCCCTACCTCCATCTTTTCTTAATGCTTCATTGCTTTGTCTTTTCTGGCAGTAAATCCCTGAATGTAACCTGTAGCTCACCTCAGTACGATGAGGCTACAAACTGTAGTGGCACCTGTGAAAACTCCTATGAAACATTTGACATGTTTAAAGTAACACAATGCAAAATTTTCATCTAGATAAACCATCATTTTCATATTTTCTACTGCTGAATGATTTAAATTTGCTATCCTAAACCCCTGCTGTTGGTCTGCCCCAGGAAAATGTTAAAGCCCACAGAAAAATATGTGTTCTACATGTTGTTGTGTGTTAGGGTCCTGGCATGCCAGTTTTTAGTACAGCAGGGATCCTGGCTGCCCTTCCACACCCAGCCCACCTCCAGTACCACATAAGGACCCTAATTGTCATGCCACTTCACATTACATATGTCATTCCTCTTGCCACGCTACCTTGCCCATGTGCCTGGCCAGCTGCTCAAAAGGGGGGTGCAAAGTGAGGACAGGGTGAGGTGTCACTGTTTCCATGTGCTGATGGGCATTCAGTTTTAGGCTAAGCTTTTCTCAACAAGCAAAATGAACAATTTTCAAAAAATCTATACATGTCTCTGAAAATGGTTCAGTATAGTCAAGCAATGATTTACAATAGAAAAGTATTATAACTGATATTTGTTAATATTATTATATTTTTATAATAATAATATTATCATATTAATACAAGAGGATTATAACTGATATTTATTAATTTATTATGTCTTTCTTTAGTGGCATAACTGTAGGTGTTGTGACATTTTGGATGCAACTTCACAAATCTTACATTTTGTGAACAGGTTTCTCACAGAAGAAAATTATAATCGCTAACAGTTCTCAGTCACTGGGCAAAAAGCGGTGTTAAGCACATGACGAATACCTTTGAACAGCTTGATTTTAGACAGCTTTTGTTCTGTCTCATTACCTTGGCAAATGTAATCTAGGACGCCATTCTTTGTGGTGCATATGCTTCCTGTGAGAGTATTTCTCCAGTTTTCTCCTTCCTTTCTGAGAATATGTGGACCCCCCC